AAAAATGACAATTTTATCAAATTTACTCAAAAATTTTTCTGTGTGGTACATCTTAATGCACTCAGTACAGAATGCAATGGTAATCTGGGCAGTAGTATCTAATCTCTTTCCGACCTCTTTTTGATTCACTATCTTTCTTTGAACAGAATATTTAACACTATTGTGTTGGCCTCCCCTTTTATTGGAGGGGGTGGTATAATCTCAGTAAAACGTCTGCCTACTAAACATAATGATGAAGTCATTGATGATGGATGTCCTGGTTGATGTTTTGCTGACATGTAGTTTTGAACTTTCTGGTGTGCTAGATCTAATCTAATTTATGAATGAGCTTTTGATCCCATTTGTTTTAAATAAATAACAAATGAGTACCACACTGTTTGGTCCAGAAGGTACCTAGTATTTTATAGGGTTTTTTGGTGGCTTTTGGTTACTGTATAGTTTTTTAGACACTGGTCAACTCTGTCATCACCACTCATAGAATTATTGTAATCATTGACCACTATAAGATTTTTTGTTTTGTTTTATCTTTCAAGTTTTATGATTTCTGAATTATGGATAGTTTACAATAAGGAGATATCTTTTTTGTCTTTCCATTTCATAACACAGACTTTTTCTCTCTGGTATGGAACACTTCTCCCTTTTTCAGTTTCTTTTTCATAGATCTTTGGAACTTCCTTTCTATTTGGTCTCATGTCCCAAACATGTTAATTTTGTATTGTAGAAGAATATTTCTTGAGCTCTGGAGAAGCACAAAAATTACATATAATGTACTTAGGATAAGAGTTTTTTATAGCTTGTAACACAAAAGTATAGGCTATTTTTCACAAATCAAATAAATACAAGTTAGTAAAATAAAATAACCAGATTTTGTTAGTAACCAGATTTTGTTAAAATAAAATAACCAGATTTCACTAGAAACAAACATCAAAAGTGAATACAACATTCTAAATAAAAAAGGATTCAAAAATAGTCAATACAAAAAAAACAGACTCATGAGTGAATGTTTTGCAAACAAGAATCAACTGGTTGAAATGATACCTACCTGTAAGGCACTCAGTGTAAACTATAACATGAGAAAAGCACTAGTTAAAAATTACAGTAAGAATTGGTTCACGAATGTTCCCTTTGCAAACAAAAGTGTTTGGTTCCCAAGCAAAAGTGTTTAGCAAAATTTTACTTCCATTTGCAAACTCTGCCCTGGGTGGCAAACATGACCATGGTCATCTTCCCCACACAAAGCACAAGTATGGCCATCTTCCCCAAAGCATACGACAAATTAAGTTTTTAAACCAAGGTACCACTTCATTCTCCTTTTCACAGACACAGACACCTTCCAGACATTCACTAGGAGAAAATTGGAGGGAAGAAGGAAGGTGCTTGGGCCAGTGTTGGGGGACGGCTCGCTCTGGTGCTGCTGGAGCCCTTGGTGCTCCCTGTCCTTCAGGGTTGTAGTCCACAGCTTCCTGAGTTGTGGTCTTTCCAGCTTCAGCTCCAAGACCCCAGTCAGTGTCCTATCTCTGTTCTGAACTTCTCAGGGTCCCATAGCTACCAGATTAATCTCTTCCCTCTGAGTGATCCTCTGGATTTGAGTTTTCTGGTGCCCTAATCTACAAATATCTCTCTTGTTGGATTCCTTCTCCGAAGGTAGAGAGAAAGTGGGGCGGGCTCCCATTCCAGAAGTCTGACCTTGAGGTATTCGAACCACTCGTGAGAAGGCATGTTTGCTGGACCTGAGATAGAAGGGATCCTGTGGGCCAGGGGCAGCCTTGCTCTACTTTCAAACTCTCTGATACTGGATTAGAGCAATTTCTCTTTCAGGTTGACTCTTTGAGGACAGCTGTATGGTATCTCCACCGATTTTCCCCATTTGCCTCAGACTTCAGTCAATGATGAGTCTCCCTCAGGTGATATTTTCCTTGACTCTGCAGCTCCCCTGCTTGATCTGCTTGTATTCATGGAGCCCTATCATGTTCCAATAAAGAAGACTCATGAAGAATCTTTACTTCCACCCCAAACCCTAACTTAACATCACCAGTGCAGCAAACTTGGAAATTTCCCACTTTTCCTAACATGTGATCTCTCACTATTTCTCACCCCCAGCAATGGAAACGATCATTTTCTGGTTGTAGCTTCTGCAAGTCAGTTGGGTGAAAACATAACTGAGAAAAGTCAAGATGCTTGGAGAAAGTGGATAACAATGTTTAAAAACTTACATCATTTACCTTTTTAAAATATAGTAGATTTTTAGTTTCACAAGACTAAAAAGTGCTTTTAAGAGAATTCATAGTGTGTGAACTCTGATCCTGCCAGCAATGTCATTTGCATACATTGTAAACAAATGTGAATTATTTATTAATAGACTTAGGGTCCAAGAAGTATTGAGTGTACAGCAGAAGGCAGTTTTAATCATGGATCTCCCCACAGGACTGAGAACCTAGTTATTGTCTCGACGTGCACAGTCCCGGCTGCATGTGTCAATAAGACCTGAAAGTCTACCGAACTTGGATTTATTTGGTGAAGAATATCCACGTCTCAGAGGCCTGACCTCTTCAAAAGCCTTTTTTTTTCTTCTCTATTATTTAGACCTCATGTGTCTGTGAGAATGAGGCTTATGTAGGAGCTTTCTGGGGTTCAAATTTATGTTCATTCTTATAATAAATCTCCTAGTCCAAATATTATTTCTGAAAAAATCTTAATAATACTGAGATTTTCCTCTATCTTGTAAACAATATTGATAGGACATCATAGGAAGTATTTGAAAAAGACAAAAGCTTGTAGTATTTTAGAGCACTTGTAGGTTTGTTTTAGGAAGATTGTTTAGGCCAAGTGGTCAGGTATAAAAGTGAGTCCCAATGATCAGCCTTTGTGGTCTTGAAGACTTGGGCTCTATCTCTTAACCACTCTAAAGTAAGTTAAAATTCAGTCAGTGTTTCATGTTTGAGATCCATGGTTTTGAATTACATCTCTTGGAACATTCAGCTCTGTCTAATTTGATGCTTACTCTCTTCCTGGGAATGTCCTCTTATTTCAAATTAAACTTGCACAAAGAACTCAGGCTACCTCTATTGCCTTTGCATTAATCTTCTACTGAGCTCTGTTAATCCACACAACCTAATCATGATTCTTCTCACCTCTCCTTTACCTATAATTCTATTCCAATCACCTTGTACTGAACTCTCAAAATGTAAAACTTGTTTTATATATGGGGTTAGCACCTCCTTAGATATAACAACCATGCTTTATTTCTCTATTCGTTCCTTTCATATACCTTGATGCATTATCTATCAAAATTAGTGATGGCTGGCAGATTTACTCTTTCCTTGGAAGCTGCATCTGGTGGGAGGTTTAAAAAAGGGGAAAGGACATCCCTTAATGACCTTCTGCTCCTCTCTAGGTCCTTGCCCTCACTTTTAGCAAAAATAGGGATCTTAGGACTGTTATGGTACAAAGTGGAAGTTTGTTTAAAATGTGGCAAATGCAGAGGAAGCAGAAGAAAAGCTATGGTAGCAGCAGAGCGGTGTGGTGAGATGGGAGGGGGGACCCTGGGGGACTCTGGAGGCTCAGTGGCTTTGACCTGTACTTCACTCTAACAGGGCCGAGCTGGTTCCTAAAAATAATCGTGTCACTGATGGGTGTGGTCTAGGCCAATCTGGGTCTTGGCCTTTGTTTCTGGTAAAGTGATAAGATCAGTTGGGAAATTTTTTAAGCATATGGTCAGTGTGAGAAACATTTTCATAAAATATAGTAGAGTACAGTTTTCAAGCACATGGTGCCTGATAAACTTGTGATAATTTTACAATATCAGACATCTGGGATTTGCCTGGGGTTTTATTTACATATCTTTAATTTGCCCATACGCTGGAGATATCATGTGGCCAGATTCCTGTGTAAGTCCTGAGAGAAGGCCAAAATATCTCTAATCCACACACTGGCCTTGGTTAGAAAATGTTGTTCTGCTAAGATTAGAATTCAGACATACCATTGTATCAAATCTTGTTCAGAAATGAGTCTGAATAAATATGTCTTTTTACTCATCCAAGATTTGTTCTCTAAAACAATACTTTCATGCCATCACTCCTCAGTAGCTCTACATAATGATACTTACCGGCCACCTGTAAAATCAATTCTTTGAAGGGAGCAGTTCACACGGATATTATTCATCCATTAAATCTCCCAGAAAGCTGCTTCCAAATCTAACCAACACCTTCTGCTTATCACCTCTGGGAGCTCGTCTGAGCTGACCAAGAGGTAAATCTATGCACCATTGTTAAATGTGCTTCATTAATGCCTAGGATAAGTTTGCCTCCTTCTTAAGCCCCATGACACAGCTTAAACTGACTTCCTCTATACTTTTAGAATCTTGAGCAACAATACTTCTAAGCATGTGACAATGCTTGGGGAGGACCACATACAATTTTTTCAGTGGTATTATTTCCTTGGCATAATGAGAGCATTTATCTTCTCTCATATTGTCTATAGTTGCTCCTTGTCAGAATACTGCTCATGAGCAAAAATTTCTCAAAGCCTTAGAATAGTTTTTCATTTCATTTTCTAATCCATTTTATTCAAAGATAAAAATAAAGGAAAGGAGGAGGAGAAAGAGAAGAGGAGAAGGAGGAGGAAAAAGAGGTGGAAGAAGAGGGGAAGAGGAAGAGGAGGAGGAGGAAGACAACAGAATTTCAAAACACATCAATCAGGGGATCAACAATGGTACATACATTGTTCATTGTCATCCCCAAATCTGAATACCTTTTCATTTACAGCCCTTTCTTAAACAAAATAACTCAAACACAGAGTCTTGTCAGAATTGGACCCACTAGACAATTTTGAGAGCCTAAAGAATCTCCAGAGATATTATATAAAAATAATGACTTCTGTTTGGTATCAGTTTGTTCAGATACAAGTAGTCTGGCAAATCAATAGTCACTGTTACATGGCATGAACTTTTCAACCAAAGCTAGAATGATATATTTTAAGACAGACACATATTAGTCCTGTTATATAGCTCAGTGGCATAAGCATCTGCCAGGCAAGTGCAAGGTCCTGAATTCAATTCCTAGTACAAAACAAAACAAAAAGAATGACACATATGGCCAGAAGTGAATATCCCATCTTTACTATTGTTAATTTCCTCTCTCAGTTTTAGGGCTTCTGAAAAATGCAAAGATTATAGTTTAAAATATTTTATTTCATTTATTGTATTACTCTGATGTAATCAAAACATTGTAGAGCAAAAATGGTGACAATATATAGGCAATGAAAAAGAATGTGTACCAGTTTTCCACATTTGTTATTAGTACCTATAATACTGAATAGTCAGTGACACAATTATAATAAATTCACACAGGTCATCTGACAACAAACTTGAATAGACATTTGAAACTGAGAAATAATGTGGCACCATAGCTCACTGGCTATGTTAATTTGATGAGGAAAGAGGTACCATCATCAGATATTGCTACTGGCCAGCATTTAGACTTTAAATAACCAATCTCATCAAAAATTCCTACAAGATTGTAGATGTAAGAAGCCATATCACCAGTTTTCAAACATTGCTGAGGAAGCCATATCCTTCTTTCTAACCATCTTTGAGATTCAAATCACCTCTTATTCTCAAGCAATGGCTAGTGGAGACAAGCATATGACCCAACACTTATTAGATATTTCCCATAGATTTGCCATACACAGAACTTAGCTGCCTCAGTTTGGTTTTTCCAGAAGACAAACTAGGACCTTTCATAGCTTTATGTATTTAAGGCAGTAAGTGTTTCTCTATCCTCTTCTCCATGGTTCAGAAATATGAAAACCTCAATGATGACCATCATGTCTTTCATGCCATGTCAGGTCACTGGGGAGACAGGGTTTCTGCATCCTAGAGCCTCAGCCACGGTCTTCTTTAAAAGCAGAGGATTAAGACTAAGCAGTCTTCAATCTCATAAGCAAAAATAAGAAGAAAGTTTCTAAAACATTCAGTTTCATCAGTACTTGTGGACAAAAGTAAGAGGCCCTGCTTTTCATGAAAACAACAAACCTCAAGAATCACAAGGTGCAGTGCTCCTGCACTGCCCAGTTGGCGATGGGCCACATCGGCCTATTGATTCCATCAAGTTCGGTCTTCCTCAAAACTCAGGATGAATTTTTCAGTCTTTCAAATGCATGCATTACTGCAAATTAAGGTGGGCCTGACAAGCTAACTCTGTCAGAAATCCCAGATTTATGATCTTAGCAGTACACCAGCTTCTTCTGCAACCTCTGGAAGGCGTCTTTGATTTCCTTGTTCTGCAGGCTGTAAATCAAGGGATTCAACATGGGGATCACCACAGTGTAGAAGACTGATGCAAATCTGTCAATGCTGGAAGAGCCACCAGAGCTGGAACTCAAATAGACAAAGATACTGGAAGTATAGAAGAGGGAAACTGCTGTCAGATGAGAAGAACAGGTGTTGAATGCCTTAGACCTGTTTGTAGCTGATGTGATCTTCGTGATGGACACGATTATATAGCCGTAGGAGATCATGATAATGATGACATTTGCTATTCCAAATATCATTGTTAATATAGCAGTCAGGACTTGAATGAAGAAAGTGTCAGTGCAGGATACAGTTAGCAGCTGGGGCATGTCACAGAAGAAGTGCCTGATGACATTGGGGCCACAAAAGTGGAGCTGAAGCAAGACATACAGTTGTGATAAAGAAGAAGTAAGTCCAGCCATGTAGGATCCCAGCACCATCTGAACACAGAGGGTGGGTGACATGATTGAAGAATAGAGCAATGGGTTACAAATGGCAGCATACCAGTCATATGCCATGGCCATCATGAGACAAGAGTCACTCAGCCCCATGGTAGAAAAGATGAAATTCTGGACAATGCAAGCCAGGAAGGTGATAGTTTGCTGCTCCTGGAAGAAGTTGGAGAGCATCTTGGGCACTGTGGAGCTGAAATAGCAGAGATCTATAAAGGACAGGTTACCAAGGAAGAAGTACATGGGTATGTGCAGGTGGGAATCCAGGCTTATTAATACAAGGAGAGACAAGTTCCAGGTTATACCTGTAATGTAGATGAGCAGGAATGTAACAAAGAGCAGCGCTGTGATTCTGGGAAAATCTGAGAATCCCAAGAGGATGAACTGGGTGATGTCTGTAATATTTCCTCCCGTGATCATTGTATCAGTGCTCCTGAAATCAGGAAGGGAACAAGAGAAGATATTGGTGACACAAGTGAAATTATGGAATCACTTTTATGTCACTCTATCTCTTCCTTTAGTAGAACTGGAAAAAGAGATAGGTGTTCAGCTCCACCCAAAGCAATTTGACATAGAAAAAGTGACTAATGTGAGTACTGGTGGGAGATTTCACTATGTGGATAGAGCTCATGAAGATCCTTTCCACTTCTGATCTAATAAAGACATGATCAGTTTGAGGAGTTGGGTGAGGTAAAAAATCAGGTCAAGAAATCCCAGAATGTTGCTGGAATGAGGAAAGGAGGTTCAGGGAGGACCAACACTACCTGAGTGACCTGAGCCAATGTCTCCAGAATATGGAGGTCACCAAAGATGGCAACGGGGAGCTGTTTGAAGATTTCCAAAGAGCATGAGGTCATAACATTAACACTGTCTCCTGCTGCTCAGAAGTCATAAATCAAGCTGCATATTTAAGTGGAAGTCATTATTTCCAAAACAAAATTCCCAAGGGAAAAATTCAAATTAAAAGGTCCTTGTAGTAAAGAAAACTGAGAAACATAGACCAGCATATTCTGGTCTTAGGAAATTCCCCCCAGTAACTCTAAAGTCATTTTTGCTTAGTTCTCAATCATGTTTGCAAGTGTCCGGTGTAGTCTTTGTCTCTTTTGACTCAATGTGGTCCTACTATCCTCACTTCATAAAAGAAAAACAGAAAGGAGCAAAGCTCAAGATCAGATTCTTAAAAAATTACACAACTAGAATGAAGTACCAATCCCTGATTCCAGAGGGGTTCCTGGAATTTTATACATAAGCATTATCTTTTCTCTTCTTAACTATGGTCAGAGAATCTAACTAAGGACATGGAGCACCAAGGGAGAGCATTAAGCAGAAGGAATGGAAATGAGGGTGAGGAAGGAGCAGGGTAGGTGGAGAGCCTTGGTGTCCCTGAAAGATGCTCAAAGGTGCCAGTATTTTCCCCGTTTTCCACTCTGACCTTGATAACAATGAAATCAGACTTCTTCCCCAGGAGTGAAACCACCTATTCCTTTTCTGAATCAGTTTTCTAACTGGGCATGTTTTACCCCTGGATGGGTGATGCAGGCCCTGAACCTGACCATTGACTCCTGGCAAGTAAGATGATCAGAGATTGTCTTAAATGTGCCACTGAGAGCAGAGGTGAGTGGAGAGGCCAATTAGAGGAAGCAGCAGCAGCTGCCATGAGGAGTTCCCTGCTGATTGCTTGTCTCTGGTGGCCAGGCCCCTACTGGATCCTTACCTGCAATCCATGACCCTTCTACAATTGCAGAATTATAGCTTTTCTTTGCCAATCTTGCAGACATTTGAACTCCAAAGGACATAGTTATCTTCTACTCAAAAACTTTGAATTTTCAGGTGAAAACATGAGCAAAGTTGAGGGGATTTACTCCAAAAAGTGCAGCTAGTTGGTAATGTAGTTAAGTAACAGTGATTGAGATCCACTTACACTTCGCTCCTCACAAAGCACTTTCCTTTTGGGCACAGAGCTACATTCCTCAAATCTTTATTATTATTATTATTATTTAAAGAAATAAAACAAAATAGAAAATGGGCAGTAATAGTACATACTTTCAAAGAAAAGAAATAAACAGTAATAAATCACTGGTTGATATATACATATTGTCCCTCCACAAATAGTTGTTCAAGATACAAAAGTGGAACATATAAGTGGGGATTCAACCAGGAAGGCTGCAAACAGTTCTTTTCAACTATCAAACAAAAATTAAGTAATATGGCTATCAATCCTATACACTTAGACATGCACACATTTATCCATGTCTTCATTTATGTTGAGACATAACAAAACTTATTAGATTAAAATCCTTCTGAACAAAGATTAATAATATTGCTGGATTTCACATCATAACAGTCCAGAATCAGCACTGGGTACCACAGTGCCCCTTTCTTTCCTTCAAAGTATTTGTTCATTTTCATCATGTGTCATAAGATCAGTTCTCAGATACTGTTCATAGGTTTTACGCAAGCATGAGTCTTAACATGTATTTCTATCCTTTCTACACTAGAGGGAAAAACAGAACAAAGCAGGACAGAACTAAACATATTCCTATAGACACATAAAACTAAAAAGACATATAAAACTTCTGTATAAGGAGTTCTACCATGGTCACTGTGCTGTTTCTTGTTATCATCAACAGAATTGGCTATATCATCAGACAAAGTATAATTGAACGTATTAGTACATAACAGAATTAACGGAAATACAATTTTGTAGATAGTGTAAAGCTGCAAAAACAGTAATCAAATGAGAATGGATATCATGGTGAATCATTGTCATTTTCAGTATATTTGTCTATACTCCTCAACTTGATACCAGCAACCTATCAGTTTTGAATAAAATCTGTCAATAATAAGCAGCAATAAAACAAGTCAGATTTAACTAAGTTCAGTCAAGATACAACAGTATAAGTCATACAGGGATCCTGATTGAGTTAATAGGAAATTAAAGATGACCACTGCGCTATGTCCTGATACCTTTGGGACAGCTGTCTGTGCCCTCAGATCCAGTGCTTGTATACAAATTAGGATGGAACAAGTTCCAACCAAGCAGAGTGGTGAGAGGTTTTAATTCCTGATACACTATTAGCTATATCTTCTGCTGGTTTTTTGAAGACTATTCCTCCTCTTTACTCCCCCAGAATGAACTGTGTAATTTTAGGTTTTACCAACACTCACCTAAATTTTACCTAAAATGTTTCCGAACTTTCTCACTCCTGGGCTGGATTTCTAGTTATATTTCTTCATTTATTAAAGCCTGTCTGTTCAACCTATCCATAAATACTGGCCCAGTTACCCCTATTACTCTCTGGTTCCGTATCACAGAGTTCTGTTTTCTCGTATTTGATTTTGGTCCATATAATCTTTTTCAGGATAATTATATTTCCTATAAAGAGCCTCTTGGTGGACCCTACCTCTTGATCCACTCTGCCTGAGATTCTCTCTTTTTCCCTTAAGTTAGTGTATCTAGGCCATCTATATTAGAAATTATATCCAACCTTCTTTGCCTCATTTCTGTTGTGCTCTTTTTCTGTCATTAGTTTTCTGTTTGTCTTTTTCATTTTGTTTTCTGCTCCATTCCTTGTGGCCTTTCTGCCACTGTTTCTGGAATCCTGGTATTTTTCTCTCTCTTTAGAATGTCCTGCAGTATTCTCGGTAGAGTTGGATTGGTGGCTGTGAATTCCCCCAGTTCCTCTTTATCTTGGAGGCACCTTGTTTCTCCATTAAATTCTAGGGACAATTGTGCAATATATATCAATCTTGGCTGGAGGTTATTGTCTTTTACGGCTCGGATTATTTCTCCCCGTGCTCTTCGAGATTTGATGGTTTGTTCCAACAAGTCTGCTGTAATTCTGATGGGTGTCCCCTTGTCCACCCCAGTATGACTCACTCCTGCTCTGTCCTTCCTCTCCCTCCTCCTTCCTTATCTTCTTTACCTCTTACTTTTTCCCTCTGTCCATCTGTCTTTCTTGCTCTTTTACACACACTCATGCACACTTTCTTAACAAAGACTAATATTACCAGAGTCTTTTCTAACTTCTTTTTAATTTCCACATATTTATTGTGCACCTTATATTTATCACACCATGAATATAAATTGAACCATTAAAGAAAACCAGTGAAGAAAAGAATAAGCCTCATGCCCTCTTAAGTGTCCTTATTTCCCTAAATAAACCATGTCACAAAACATAACCTGTTTTTGAAAACGATCACACCTAGAGTTTTGTGCATGGAACTCTAACCATGGAAACCACTTTCCAAACTGTGTTTAAAGTGAGTGACACTGCCACAGCAACATCGTGCAGAGGCAGCTGAAAAAATGACTGCAGGGAAGAAAAAAAGCCATATTCTCACTTCTTTCTCCCTCACTGTTCTCCTGCCTTGCAAAGGTCTCTTAGGTATCCTGAACTCTGTCTTCCTCTTAGGGGTGATGAGTCCTGCCTGAAGGTGACCCTTCCTGAGATCAGTGTGCCATACCACCCTCTTCAGACCTCTTTGATCTCCTTGTTCCTCAGACTACAGGTCAGAGGGTTTAGCATGGGGATGAAGACAACATGGACCACTGACAAGACCTTGTTCTGCTCCATGGTGTGCCCAGAGCTATGGTGCATGTACACCAAGAGGACTGTGTCGTGGAACAGGATCACTGCTGCCAGGTGGAGGCACAGGCACTGAAGGCCTTGGAGCAATGTCTGCCTGAAGACATTTTCAGGATAGCAGCCACAATGAAGCAATAGAATAAGAAAATAACAAGAAAAGAACCAAACCTGATGAGAATTGCTGATTGAAAGACAATCAGTTGGCTGACAAGGATAAGAGCAAGACAAAGTAATAATCTGAGGCATATCACAGAAGAAATGCTGGATAATATTTAGCCCATGATAGCAGACATGAAAGAAAGACACCATCTGGGCTAAGCTGCTGAAGAACCCACTCCTGAAGACCCCAGCAATCATCTTTCCACAGAGACCTGGCACTATGATGGCCGAGTACTACAGAGGCCTCTGGATGGTCACAAACTCATCATACACCACGGCAGCCAGGAGGCATCACTCTGACATGCCCATCCAGGCCAGGACAGAAAGAGAAGGAAAAGAACGTAGCTGTGTGCAGGTGGCCATGTTTCCCGATGAGGGTGACAAGGCACAGGCTCCTGGTGAGAGTCATGAGGTAGGTTCCCAAGAAGATGGGGAAGAGAATGAGCTCTCTCTCTGATCCGAGTCCCAGGAGGACAAACATGGCCACAGAGGTGTGCTTTTCATTCCCATTTGTAAATCAGCATGGAGGAAGAGATGAGAGAAGGAAATGGTGTTATTCATGAAGACTGAAAAGGGACATGGTAAGCAGTTTCTTCAGTCATGTATTTGGCTGTATGTACAGCCCTACATCATTAATGTTAACTCATGTCTTCCAATTGTGGACCCTCACTG